AGACTGGCCAGGGCAACGTCTTCATCAAGAACCTCGATGTTGCCATTGACAACAAGGCTCTCCACGACACCTTTGCTGCTTTTGGTAACATCTTGAGCTGCAAGGTTGCTCAGGATGAGAACGGCAACTCCAAGGGCTACGGCTTCGTTCATTACGAGACCGATGAGGCTGCTTCTCAGGCTATCAAGCACGTTAACGGCATGCTTTTGAACGAGAAGAAGGTTTACGTTGGCCACCACATCCCCAAGAAGGACCGCCAGAGCAAGTTCGAGGAGATGAAGGCCAACTTCACCAACATCTACGTCAAGAACATCGCCACCGAGGTCACCGATGACGAGTTCCGCGACCTCTTTGCCGCCTTTGGCGACGTCACCTCTTCCTCGCTTGCCCGCGACCAGGAGGGCAAGAGCCGCGGCTTTGGCTTTGTCAACTTCACTACTCATGAGGCTGCTTCCAAGGCTGTCGACGACCTTAACGGCAAGGACTTCAAGGGACAGGACCTGTACGTTGGCAGAGCGCAGAAGAAGCACGAGCGTGAGGAGGAGCTCCGCAAGTCCTACGAGGCTGCTCGCATGGAGAAGGCCAACAAGTACCAGGGTGTCAACCTGTACATCAAGAACCTTGACGACGAGGTTGACGACGAGAGACTTCGCCAGCTGTTCGCCGACTTTGGCCCCATCACTTCCGCTAAGGTGATGCGCGACAACGCCACCGACTCCGGTAACGAGGAGGAGGGTTCTTCCGATGAAACCGACAAGGAGAACAAGAAGGAGGAGGTCCAGGCCGAGGAGAAGGAGGAGGCCGAGAAGACCGAGGAGAAGGAGGACGGCGAGAAGAAGACCGAGAAGAAGTCGGACAAGAAGCCCCATGGTAAGAGCAAGGGCTTCGGCTTCGTCTGCTTCAGCAACCCCGACGACGCCACCAAGGCCGTTGCCGAGATGAACCAGCGCATGGTCAACAACAAGCCTCTGTACGTTGCTCTTGCTCAGCGCAAGGATGTTCGCAAGAGCCAGCTTGAGGCTAGTATCCAGGCTCGCAACCAACTCCGCATGCAGCAGGCCGCCGCCGCTGCCGGTATGCCCCAGCAGTACATGCAACCCCCCGTCTTCTATGCCGCGGGCCAGCAGCCCGTCTTCCCCCAGGGTGGTCGCGGCATGCCATTCCCCCAGGGCGGCATGGCCATGCCTCCCGTTCAGGGCGGCCGTCCGGGCCAGTTCCCCGGAGGATACCCCCAGCAGGGCGGACGCGGTGTTCCCCAGCAGATGCCCCCTGTCTACGGCATGCCTGGCTCCTTCCCTCCAGGAGGTGCCTACCCCCAGCCTGGTAACCCGCAGTTCATGGCTGCCATCCAGCAGGTGCAGCAAGCCACCATGGGCGGCGGTCGTGGCGGTCCCCAGGGCGGCCGTGGCCCCGTTCCCCAGGGAATGCCCATCCCCGGCGGCCCCGGCATGCCCGGCTTCCCTCCCAACGCTCGCCAGGGTGGTAACCAGCCCGGCGCCGGCCGCGGTGGTGCCAACCCCAACGCTCCCCGCAACGCTCCCTTCCCCCAGGGTGGCCGCGGAGCCCCTGCCCAGGAGCTCAACAGCGGCAGCCTCATCCAGCAGCAGCTCGCTGCCGCCGGTGGCAACCCCGGTCAGCAGAAGCAGATCCTCGGTGAGGTCATCTTCCCCAAGATCCAGGCTATCCAGCCTGAGCTTGCCGGAAAGATCACCGGTATGCTTCTCGAGATGGACAACGCTGAGCTTGTTAACCTGTAAGTTTGAATAACCCTCATGTCCACTGATCTCTCACTAACATTCCGCAGCATCGAGGAAGAGTCCGCTCTCAAGGCCAAGGTCGACGAGGCGCTCGGCGTCTACGAGGAGTACATCAAGGCCCAGGGTGGCGAGGAGGGCGAGAAGAAGGCCGAGGAGACCAAGGCCTAAGCCATCTCCTCCGCATTCACGCAACGTTATGAGCATGATTTCCTTATGTCATCATACCCCTTGTTATCGGGCATCCTTTCTACGACCAGTGAGCATTCAACGACAACGCTCATGAGGTCATTGCTCAACACGGATTGGGAAAAGTTATTTGGAATGAGGCGGCATAATCGACTGCATTTTTTAACGCCAGAGGGATCTCCACGACATGCTTTGCTACGATGGCAGCTCTATCAGACCTGTCGTCAAATCTTCTCGAGGCCTGCATGTATGGATAGATTTCTTTACTGCCTTCGTGGGCAGAGAGACTGGCGGTTCATCCCTACTTTGGGTGGCTCCTGTTTCTCTTGATCTGCCAGGAAGGCTCGGTGGGATGCGTCATTTGCCACCCCATATGGTTCTCCAGGAAGGCGTTTTACGGTTGTATGTTTGAGTCGCACGAGCTGCCTGGCTTCGCTCGCTTGCGACGGCACCAATACCCCACACAGAACGGTACTCGTTTCTTCAGGCAAACAGGCAGATGGTGGTTTTGAGGAGGTAGGAAAGTATCTCCTAAAAGAAAGTTCACAAATACCTGGCGTTCCTTGATTGTGAATATGTGATGATATATATGAGTCATCGTCGTGTTGATGATCTTTGTCTCCATGGCTGCAGCGCTGTTGTTTTCTGTTCCGGCGCCTAGCATGTAGTTCTTACTCCGCGTTGTCTCGATGCTGTCAACCTGGCTTGAACCCTTCTTGTCGATGTCGGGGTGGCAACTACGGCTGTAAGCTGAACACTAGACTATGATGTATCCGACAGATTCAAGGTGATGTGAAAGGCGTCAATCGATACTGAGCGATAAACAAGTGACTCGCAAGCTTTTCTCTTGATGTTTGAGTACGAGAGCCTGAATGATATATTATGGCAGAGTCAATGGGTTAGTTAGACCGATCTATCGGGCCAGGCCAATAAAGACAACATGTCACATGGGAATCGGCCGATGAGGATGATTGCTAGCCTTCGTAACACCGGGAATGCGAAGCAACACCTAGTGAAGGTACAAATATGGACTGGAATCGGAATGCCCAGCAGATCTTTCCTGCAGTAGGAAGAGGGTCTCGATGTTCTTCGCCTCATGCCTCGTGGACGCCTTATCATGAGCTCTGGGATTCCCTTGGTGTAGCAACATACTTCCGATTAGGTAGGCATCACCACATCGAGATGATAAATGTTTGAAAAGCCAGAATTCATCCCGTGCTTGAGAATACTCTCGTCGGATAGAGAACTTTCAAGTTCACGTACTCGGAACAACGGAAACTGCCGAATCGGCATCTCGCGGTACACACGAATCCTCTGCCGTCGGACAGCGGCCTTCCCCTGGCACTCCATCGTCGTCTCAAAGGGCTAATATCTAGGGGATTCATTGCGTGATACGATAAAATTCCTGTTTTGCTTGAGGACCTCGTGCGGAAATTGGCTCATGAGGACGGTCCTTTCAGCCTAGAGGTCAGAGAAGAAGTGTGAGGGCGTTGAATGGCCCGAGAGACTAGCTAGACGTGCGACTTTTCGAAATCGACTCTTGAATTACTCTGCTACATACTCAGAGTGAATTGCCCTATCGAGCTATAAAGTCTCTCCCAACTACTCGGCTTCCCTTACATTGTATTATGCTAGAATTCTGTAGAGATGAGGAGAGTAAGCATGGGAGGAAAAGCCTGTTCCAATTCAAGTAAATAGAGCAGAATCTTTGTCTATAATTTCCAGAGCACTTCACAACTCCAACCCAGGCTACACCATGGACCAGTGGACGAGAATGTAAGGTCAATTACATATATCGAGTTGCAAATAGGCCCAAGGAGCCGTTCAACTTCTGCTCGGCTCCAGCCCGCGATGCAAACAATTCTAAAAAATGACTCAATCGCTCACTCTTATACAAGATAAGTCTGCGGTCTTGGGCTGCAGGTGGACCCGCCGATATTCCACAACAGACCATGCAGTACCTGCTTTCTCAAGTATATAAAATGTACACTGTCACTTCCCCAAGACTAGGACTGCTTAAGGGAGCAGCAAGCGATGCCGCTGGCAGCGGCAGCGAGGATCTTTGCCATCATGACCATCCCTACCATCTATCTCCCCAGGAGCTCTGCGCGCTATGATCTTGGAGGGCAGCTAGCAGGAAGCAAAGTCTCATTACTGCCCTACACACTCAAGTAGCCAGCCACAATTGCCTGCCTTCCTCTTACGCATCTTCTATAGTATTCCTCGCATAATATGCCACCAGCAGTAACGAAGTAAGAAGGATGTCATGCACCTTGCACCTACCTACCTTACCTTACTTTATCTCAGGTGCTCGGTAGACTCGAAACGTGAATGAGACTGTCGTGCAGCTCCAACACTCCGTCTCCCGGAGCTACCCCAGAACGTGCTTCACACTGGTCGACCACATGTTTTAGTAATTCAGAAACGAAGTGAGCAGCCACGCATTTGATAAACCCTTCCATCCAGAGCCTGCGGCGCAAGGACTAGATGAAATGTTGCGTTGATTCGCATTTCCGCTACCTAGTTGACCTCAACGAAACCTCAAATCCCAGAGTACGCCCTTTCCCAAAGTCTTTACATGCGGCTGGTCCTACAGGTACTAGTTCCCAAGAACGCCCTTTCCCATATCCGTAATCACTACCAAAAAGTTCCTCTCTCTGTATCTTCCATGCAGGGCGGCTGTCAAGAACATGCCGCTCGCTCGATTCCGTGCCTGTACCTTATCCAAGGAGGACGTCTGCTGCCAATGTACGCCAACTGACATCTGTCAGCTTATGAACACCCGATCTGCCATGGAAATTAAATACCCGTGTAGTAGACGATACCCGATATGCCTTCATCCTCAACTCCAGTGAAGATGCGTGAGAGACATCGTTGTCCCCTCCACTCGCTTCGACAGCAAAGCTCTATCCCCAGTTCAGCAAGCAACGCCGTCCGGGTGGGTTTCCTCTATTTGTCCAAATACGCCATGATGCAGTATACAAGGGCAAGCAACCAAGAGGGAGAAATGAATCCAGGACCCAAGTGTTTTTTCTCTAAATCCCAGACTTCACCAAATCATGCTGTACGGCCATACGTCCGGTCCTCAATGAGCCGCCGACTGTTTCCGACGCTGCCGTACAGCATCTCCATCAGCTTGCCCTTCTGCCGCGTCCGAACACCCTCGAGGTAACCCCCGACGTCCTCCAGCCCGCGGATCTGGTCCTCGAGCGTCAGAGTGCTCGAATTGACAGACCTCACGAGCGGGCTGACGAGCTTGCGTCGCAGGTTTTCGAGATTGGCCTTGAGAGCCATGAGCTTGCCGTTGTGCTCGACCAAGATGCTCTTGTTCCGCACTGTCTTCTCCCTAACGTTCTGCAACAGCAGACGGTTGCGCTCATATTTCGCCACCTCTGCGGCGTTGGCGCCTAGGATGCGCGTCCAGAGTGACGACAGCGAATCAGCGTGCAGGTCCTCCTGCGCTGATGCCTCACGGACAACAGTGCGCGCCAGATTGAGGAACTGGTGGTCGATGGCCTCGAAGAGAGCAAACAAGGCGAGGGAGTGTTGAAGTTCCGAGTTGATGGCATCCTCGAGTACGGTGAGGAACTCATTGAATGTGCGCTGGAGAGTGAGGCGTGTGCGCTGCGGGTTGGACATGCCAAAGATATACCTCGACAGAGAGCCAAGGCGAGTCGGGCTGCCAAAGCCGTCTTCAAGTACGCCGGCTTCAGAGAGAAGGTTGTGGATGTTGTCAAAGGCGGCAGTGAAGGGTGATGACGGGAGATGTTGGACTTGAGAGAGCTCTCTACGCGCCCAGTCCATGACTATGAGGATGCTAACTCAATATTAGAATGAAATGCTTCGCGAGTGAGAACAGATGCGGGGAGACTTACCCATCAATATCGCCATCAACATTCGCAAAGAATTTTGTCAGCTCGACAGCTAGAGTCTTCAAGCTCTCACTGAGATCATCCAGCTCCTTCACAATGATCGGCGCAGAAGTCATGTTGCTGGAGCGCACGCTCTCGCCGAGATCCCACACGGCGACACCAGTTGCTTGCAGATCGCCAACCTGGGATGCGCCATTCTCAGAAAAGTAGATAAGCGGTTCGAAAGACCGCGCAATTCCCGCGACCTTGACAAGGTCGGGCACCGGCTGCTGCGCAGCGGGCTGGAAGAGGTTGCGCGTCGCAGTAATGGCGAGCACGGCGATGAGGATGGACAGGATCGTGGACGACCATGAGTGAGTCAAGAATCGCCATTTTGAGCGGAAGAAGTGAACAAGTGCTTCGATAGGTTCCGTGCGCTGCTGTACTTCTGCGCGCAATGCGAATCTGATATCTATCGGCGAGGTCAGCCTGATACCCTCCCATAGCAGTCGTATACACACGATAGAAAGGATTGGGTTTCAGGTACGGGGCCATACAATTTTCTTGATTCAACGTTCCCTCTGAAGGGCTCGTTTCTTTCCATGGGATATCCTCCAACTTGATCGTCCTATCCTCCATCTTGGGCTCGGGACTCGGCGACCGGGCCTTATCAGGACTCATGCTCCCCGTCGGCAACCTCGTGCGCATGGCCCTGCGCAGCACCGACTCGCCCTCATCGCCGTCGCTATCGTACTCAGGGCTGGACTCCCTCGACTTGAAGCCGCCAAAGCCCTGGTGGTGCCCGTGAAGCTGCGGGGAGAATGCGCCCAGCAGGTCATCACTCCGGCGCCAGAAGCCGCTGTCGCGACTCCCGTTTCCGAGGCGGCGCCAGGCCGGAGGACTGTAGCCACCGGCGGAGACTGAGTTTTCGGGGTCCGGGCCCAGGTCGCTCTCCGCGTCGTCTGACCGGAAGCTCGAGTGATGCGACGGGTGCCCGAACAAGTTCACGCCCTGAGGGCCCCTCCTGCCCGGTGGCGGAGTCGTCGGCTCGAAGTCGCCCAAGGAGGCGTCTAAATGATCGAGAGGATCGAATGTCATCGAATGTTTCGTAGCCATCATCATACTCGTGCTGATAGTGTTGAGAGGAGTGGCGGTCGCTGCGACGGACGAGTGCGCCGCTGGCCTTGGGGGCGGGTGGTGCGGGTAGGGCCTTGTAAGTGGGTGGTGGTGGGAGAGGAGGCGGCTCGACTGCGGCCTCTGCGGTTTTGGTGGTTCGGCTTGTGCGCTTAAAGTAGCTGACGTTGGGTAGCAGTGTCGGCTTCCAAGAGATCTGAACGATGTACAGATAGACGAAGACGAAAGATAGGGTCAGTGTTGCGACGTATGTGCTGGGAGCAATGGTGATGCTCAGCAGGGAAACGTTATTGTTGACGGTGACCAGCGACGGCATGGAAAGCATGAGGGTCAGAGTAGGTTGGGCGCACACCCTTCACCGTGGTCGCCTCGGTGTTGCGACAGAGACGAACTTCTTCTGCAGGTCGACGGCTAGTACGGCGCAGAGAAGTACCTTGTTGGTTCACTTGACGTATTGCGGGAGCGCAATGCAGGAGGGGGGGAAAGTGGGATGTATAAGGCAAAGAGTTGAGAGCAAGGGGAATAGAAGTGCCTCGGATTGATGTAACCGATCAGGGCAAGTAAGTATAAGGTAGTCCAGCCCAATGTGAAACTGAACTCGATCGGGAATGATATGCGCGGGTGCGATAAGAGTAAAGGTAGGAGGATGAAGAAAGGTTGAATTTGAGTATGGATCTAAGGTAAGGTAGGTAGGTAAGGTAACGGTGATAGACCAAGCGCCTTCCTAGGATCGCCCGTCTCTATCTCTCTCTCCCTCTCTCTTTCCTCTTGGATGGAAGACAAGACAAGACGGGATAGGACAGGATTGGGCGGAAAGTGGGTAGAAAGAAGTAGCAGGTGACCTGATTGAGAGTGGCCGCAGGTTTGTGGAAAGGTAAGAAAAAGCGGGAGAGATGCAGCAAGCAGATGGAGAAGCAGCAACGGCATCTAATTCCTCGTAAAGGGAAGGGGGAAGGCGGAAGGGGAGGGGGGGGGGGTTGTTGCGGTGCTTCCCGTTCCTCTCTGCGTCTTTTCTAATGCAACAACAGCCCAGCACCTGGGATCCCCAATGCCCACCCGAACCACCTTGCGTCGCCTTCGAACGAGACGAAATCGAGAGGTTGGGGAGCTCAGGTCCCCACTTGCCAGGTTCGAGGCCATCGTCCAATCATTTCTCGAGCCTGTCAAGGGAGCGGCCGGATTTCAGGCCCTGGATTGGGTGGGAGGGGCTGGAGAGGGGCCCCTACACCGAACAATGGCGACACTGACCTGGGCGGGTACGTACCCTCCTGCTCTGTTCGCTCTACCTTACGCTCTCCCGTGCACTCGCACTTTACCGTCTTTCCTCTCCCATAACGAGGTCAAAAGTTGATGAGAAACAGGAAACACATCTGCCATCCTCCTCTTCTACCTTAACAGTCCCTCCCCCCTACGGATAACCGTATCTCCCTTCCGTCCTACACCTCTTCCTCCCCCCTGTCCCGGTGTTCCCAAGTACCCATGCGCGCCCCATCTCAACCCGCGTCGTTCGTGTTTTAGGAAACAAGCGTGTCTGCCCCTCGGACGTTTAAGTGGTTGCATCTTTAGTCACGGGACCAATCTCAAGCACGAGAATGGAAGGCGGGGTCCTCTTCTTTGCTGCGTCTTCTTTCCACTTTTGAACGTAAACAAACAAACACTTCTCTCTCTCTCTCTCTCTTCAGGTTTCCGAAAAGAAAAAAAGCCTTGCGCGATCCAATCAAAGTGTCTCACCGACAAAGCCTCGGGAGCATCCGATTCGACAACGACGCCAACGAGACGCGGGATAGTGTGGGCAAGGGAACCCAAGACTCGCGTCCCAAGGGGGGGTGCTATGATGTGAAGTAACAAGTACCCATCACAGTAAATCCACGCACAAGATGTACATAGCCATATAACAGAGCAAGGCACAAAAACCCCTACCAAGAACTGCCAAAACGTAGCTAGGCTCTAGTATTGTTAATAGTTCACCTCACACTTTATCAGGACGAACCTCAAACAAAACCCACACTCAATCCCCCTCCCATTCCCCAGGGCACAATTGCGTACGTACCATCGGCCGAGCATCTTTACACGGGATTGGCCCCGTTTGACTAAGAGACCCAGAAAAAACGCAACTGAGCTGGCCCCAATCAACCACTTTCACTATCTTATCACCCCGCACCAATGCCCCATTCTCTCAGTCCCGTCACCGAATCAACTGTCGCCTGGTGGGACCCCTACAGACGACGACTCCATTCCCTTCGAGTGACTCCTTCGTGACCATGACGAGCGTTCGTTTGCCCATTTCGAACTATGTCGGGCGGACATAATTCATCTGCTTGCTTTTAGTTATACACGAGATGCTCGAGCATGCACAATTTCACAACCACGTCGGCCCGGACATCACCGAGCTTATCATTGCTGGCCACCGAGTTATTCACGTTCTCTGAAGCCGTCTTCCAATAGGACTCAACCGCAGGCAATGGACTCAAAGTTGTAGAATGGAGTAAGAATTCAACCAAGTTGGTTGTCGAGTCTTCTGCTTGACCGCTTTTTATGACATGATTAATCGTCAAATCCCCCGGGGAAATAAACAACAAGTGAGACGCCTCGCATGGCTCGTATCTAGCCTGAACTACGCTTGCTCTCTCCATCACATTCTCAAGTGAGAGAAGCCTTCTCTCACGCAGTACCTGGGATACTTGTCTCAGGCCTATCCCCAAAGTGGAAGGCTCGTACGAACATAGTGAAAAGGAAATTGTGTTGCTCATCAAAAGCTCTTTCGCCGATCCTGCTGCTCCGTCGGCTCCATCTCCCTCTCCTCAACCATTGACGCTCGCCTTGTACTGAAGCGATTCCACAGCCCTGACAGCCTACGCCTCGGCACGGGGTTCTTCTAGTCGACCTTTGCGTTGGCCAGGCTCTTGGCTCCTGGGTTATTCAGGTCATTGACCTGCTTGAGAGGGCCTCTCTTGTACTTGCTCTTGTTGCGAAGGCGCTTCCGCGCTACCATGACAGGCACCGAGCTCTTTGTAACAAGATAGTTGGAGAATGAGCCAAGAATCACACTACTCAACAGTCAGTAGGGGTTCAGACGGTAGAGGTGAATGGAGTTGACAACTAACCCCTTGAGAGCGCTACGGCCTCGGCTGCCCAGGATTACCAACGTAGGGCTGACAATGTCAATCACCTCGGTAATGAGATGCTTTGGATTCTTGCAGTGAATGACCTCGACGATCACTCGCACTTGCAGTCGAGTCCTACGCAACAGCCGCTCAACCCTCTCCTGGATGTCGTTCACCGCCCGACGGCGCTCTTCCTCAGCACGACCGCGCTCCCTACTGGACGGCGCCGGCGAAGAAGAGTCGCTATTGTTCAAGGCCGAGGCTCGCGGCAGGTGAGGGAATGGCGGGGCGCTTGTCATGCCTGGCGGCGGTGACTTGGCGCTGGACATGGCGTTGATAGCAGTTGCTTGTTCCTGATGCGCGGCACGTTCGTCGGGAACCATTATTCCCTCGGTTGAGTAAATGCCAGTCTCTTCATCGACGCAGTAGATACAGATGAGAGTATCTCCATCTCGCAGAACGGTGCCGATAGTCCATTCCAGGGCGTGTGTCGACTCCTCACTGAGATCGGTGGCCACCAGGTATTTTCTCAACCTATGATGCTCCTCTTCGGCCGACCTCTGGATCTGGTCAAACTCGCCGCGCATGATGATGCGTAGAGTTCGTGAGAACTCTGGGTTGTTGAGGGTTTCCGTCCGTGAGAAGGCCAGTCTCTGTGCGCGCTTGATGTCGTTGAGCTCCTCCTCATCGTCCGAGTTCACAGCGGACGCCATTCCCGATCCTGGCTCATTGTCGAATGCTGTGGTTGGACGGATGCCTGCTTTGGATTTCGACTTCTCGCCGCCTGGTTTGGTGAGTGTGATGGAAGGTTCGTCTAACAATGACTTGTATTTGTATTGAGGTTGCTTAGAGCTGACTGCTAGGCCTGCAAATTCGTTAGCATCTTTAACCCAACGTAAGCATGGGTTACTTACGCTCTTCCTCAGCCGCGGCAAGCAGACTGAGTGTCTTGCGGTCACCTTTGTCGGCTGAGGTGCCGGACTTGGCATTGCTCTCTTCATCTCGAGGCGACATCTTACGTCCTCTCTCGTTCTCTTCATCAGAAGAACTGTGCGCGTCTTCGTCGCTGCTGTCTTCGAGCTCCTCTCCGTCAGGGCTGAGATAGTCCTTCGTAAGACGCCCAAGACCGGCATCGTCGGCGTTCGACTTCTTGCGGCCAGCCAGCCCGGAGAGGCCTCCACCTGAAAATGCCAGATTTGCGTCAGACAGCTTGCGGTACGCCGTTGAAATGTCAACCACACGACCGTCGTCAAGGATGGCGGTTCCAGGAATCTGCTGGAGCCGACCGCTGACATTGGGCGATCGGGATCGCATGCTCAGTCTGCCATGGGGGGACTTTGATTTGCTGCCTTGACCTCTGCTAGAGCTTCTCGCACCCATGACGGGATTGCTAGCAATGGAGCCGTGGCGGGCCCTGTCGCCGGGGAGGATGATACCGGGAATGTCGTTGCCGCGCATAACATCGGCCATAGCGCCGCCGCCCGGCTTCTTTACGCCCAGCGCCTTTCCCTGGGTGTTGCGCTTCGGCATAGCAGTTCCGATATTGTTAGTAGAAATATCAGAGAATTGGTAGTCCGCAGTCGGGTCCATCCGATTGATTGGGGCGCGCGGGCCAAAGCTGGGCTTCTGGGAGTGTGAATCGGAAAACGTTCTCGGATGAGGCGCGCGAGATTCGACTGGAGAGCTGGGGCCGGCACTGGCAGCCTGCTTTGGAGCCGAGGTGTTGATATCGAGCATACTCCGAACGGGGACCGGAGGACCGCCGATATCCAACATGCTGCGCACGGGTACGGCGTTTCCAAGACGTGGACTCTTTGAGCCTCCATCGGCGCCGATATCTAACATGCTTCTTACGGGTGAGCGAGGCGACGTGTAGGGCGAAGGCGAGCGTGCAGAGACGGGCGAGCCCGTGTTCCAGTTGGATCTAGCAGCGGTGCCCTCGAGCAAGGCCAGAACATCTCTTCTCTCCTCGTCGAGCATGGCCTCCATGCTCATGGGTTGGTGCGACATCTTGAATGGGTTCGAAAGTCGGATTGCGCTCTTGGCGGGGAAGGAGCCTCGTTCAGGACTTTGCGAGCGTCGCTTTTGCGGTAGAAGAACGATGACAACTCGTTCGCTTGAGGGTAGTGATGATTTCGTTAATGTAAAATCGAATACGGGGGTCTGGATCGGGTCGGATATACGTGGTTGGGGGTAAATCTAACGGGGAATGATCTTGCGATGTTGACGTTGGCGGTGCAAGTTGGACGACAGAAACAGCATCGTGTAGGGGCAGTAGGGATATGGAGGTCGGTGGAGGCTCCTTAGATCATGGCTCTGTTGGGACCAGACCAAAAGTGAGCAAGGTGCGCTGTGGGTGGAGGCCTAAATTAGCTTGTGAAGCACGAGTCGAACTGCCAAGACCGGTTGAAGGAGGAACAGTTGGTTGTGGTGGTAGGGGAGGAGGAGAAGAGAAGGGTAAAAAAGGGTGCGGTGCGGTGCGGTAAGAGAGAAACAACAAGGAGTTGAAGGAACCTGAGGGTAAGGTAGCGCACGACACACGATTGGTGGTAGTGGAGTGAAGGGTACTGTGTAAGGTAAGGTAAGGTATCCGTAGGAAGGTAAGGTGTAAGGTAGTTCCTAGTCCCTTTCTTTACCTACCGTACTACTTTAGCCAAGGTTACCTTACTGCGGTAGTCCCAGTCCAGCCCAATGTTTCCCCAGTGGCAGTGGCAGTGGCAGCGGCAGCGCAAGCGCAAGCTGGGAACGAATGGAACGAGCAGAGAAGGAGAAAGGTGGGGATTGGTTTTCGCGGGTGGCAGCAAGTAAGGTAAGCAGAGACTCGAGGAAGATGGTTGTGAACTTGTGGAAATGGGACGGTGGAGGACAGGAGGGGGGGAGAACGTGGATAACGTGGATGGATGGTGGAAGGGATCGAGGAGGGGTAGGTGCTCCGGTTTCTTAGCGTCGACGTCTTTGACACCAGTTGACGGCGCCCTCCCTTGTGTTTAACTGTATTAGTCTGAAGCCTCACATTTGCCTTTGTGACCTTGGCCCATGACTGCGGAAGCCTCTAGGTACTTTGTACGGATAGATTGACATGCCCTGGGCTCAAAATGGTGCAGACAGCGCCTGGAAATGCAGTCATCCGATCCAAAATCATCGTTTTTCTTACGTTCTTGATGAACCTGTCTGCTTGTCTCTTGACTCCTTTGGTTTGCAGAGTAATACTTCGACGAAGTATATCGCAGAGACTTGTGGACAGGGGTGAGATTTGCGATGGAGCCATGGACACCTTATCCAGCCCAGCCAGCCCCATTTGGGCCGTATTCCATCTGCTCTTTCTCCCAAATTCATTTCCCCAGAGTCTGGAAGAGATCATCCATTCAGAGCGCCCTAATGCTGCAGAGGGACAGAGGGACCGCTTCTTACTTGCCCAGTGTCTCCATTTTCATCTGCGTGCCGTGGGCGCTTCGTCATCGCCCGTCTTGGTACGACTGGTACCTGCCCACTCAGGAAACCCGGTGAGGTACCCCATCTCATCCCACCTCACCTGTAGACAGGCTTGAGAAGTTGAGAGAGAGGCACGACGTGACCGTTCATCATCCGAGGGCCATTGGGCTGCTGGGCTGGCTGGTTGCCCCCAGGAAACTCAATTGAAAGATGGGATGTTACCTCAACTTTGCTTACGCCCCAGCGCCCTCTCTGACGTTTGTCTGCCGATATGATGCACGACACTTCATCCCCAGGTATGCAAACCATCCAAAGTGTACATGCTCTGTGCCCTAGGACTGACCACTCGTCTGCCCTCAAACAAGGTGGGTGTACGGATACGTACCCGAAGATCTCTGTGCTTGAAACCCAAAACGAAGAAAAAAAGAATGGGGAAACATCTGAGGAAGATCTGAGAAACACTCACCTATATCTTGATATTTGAACGAGATCGACAGGGCTGGTTTCAAAGCTGATTTATCGTATGGTGTAATAAAACAAAGAGACAGTGTTAAGAGAGCATGATGAGAGAAAGTCGGTAGTTATAGATATAGCGAAACCGAGAAACAGTTCGTTCACAGCAAGTCACTATTCTGGAAAGCAATTAATATGTGTCTATCTGCTTGAAGAACTGATTTGCTATTCGCACACTCGTTCGTGTAGTATTAAGGTCGAACGATGGATGAAAATCCATATGCAAGTGAATGACGCATTCCCTGCTTGTCTCCACTGCAAATATTTGTTTTCGGCTTTTCGTCACAGACACAACCCGCTCTGGCCGTCAGAGTCCTCTCTTCTAGGAACTTGGAAAACCGCTTGCTATGACCCGCGGCCTCCGCCCATCGTTCCTCGTCCTGCGCCTCGATCTCCGTATCATTCCACAAAGGTATCCTTCAACCTCCTCCACTCACTTCTGCCGGGCGGGGAGACGGTCTTACACGCTTCGCCGCACAGTGCTTCCAACGGTGCGATGATGACGACGCCGGCGTCCACCGCCAAGACCGGCCGTCTTCTTGGCAGGTGATTTGTTCTCCGTGGGACGGCGCCGACTTGCTGTGTATGACACTCTTCAGCCGCCCCGGAAAGGTAGGGCCACACGGCCAGTGATACCTAGGTAGATGACCACCCGAACGTTTCCTTCACTTGATGGAAGAGAGAAGAGACAGGAAGACAAGACGTCACTGCGGGCCCTGAGAGGTTTCCATCATGTGAAAGTCATGTTTAAACATCTAGGAAACTTTCCCGGGCGCCGGCACGACGGTATCGTGGCTTGGCCAAATGTCTTCATCGAGTACGGGGAACTTTTCGGCCCTGGAGGATTACAGACGCCTCCTTTTGTCCTCTCATCGCCTCACTGAGACCCCGCCTTTTATCCTTTTGGCCCAGTGATGCATTAGACCTTTGAGAATAGTGAACTATCTAGACATGTATTGAGGCTGTGCTGCAGTCCGTGTCTGCCGCTTCACGATGCCGGTGTCATTCGTGACCAGTCTCTCACAGTGTTGTGAGGCCTATTGATGCTTACATGGACAACTGTTGAGCCATCTTCATACTTTACCACACAGGCATCGTGGCTCCTTGGGAGACTTTCAACAACGAACATTTAGCCTTCTTGTCACAACTGAAGAGTGATAGAGCAGTGTCTCTGGTAACGGAACCCGAGAAACTATGCCTTGGTTAATACACGCAAAAGCTGACACAGTAATTCGATGCTTTCACTGAAGGTAAGAGCGAAACCGTCCGGATCAAGACATTCTGGCCTCAGTCAAGGTACCCTAGAACAGACAATACCCCACCAGGTACCCTAGAATAGAAGGTGCAGCGTTGGAATTAACGCACCCATAACAGCATAACAGCGATATGTCATTTTGGCAGAAAGGCTCCTCTTGAGCACTTACATTGGCAGGATGATATAGTACAATATACAGCTTTGCTACAAATCTCTCAACGTCTTTTCCCCCCCTTCCATCTTCGTACAAATTCTTCACCACCCACTCTACATATTCTGCTTGACAACCTTGGCGGTCAAGTTGGCACGCGTCGCCGTACCCAACTTGTGCAGCGCCAACCGCTTCTCCCACACGCCCGACCGCCCCTCGGTGACGGCAATCAGCTCGTCCGCCACGCGGTGCGCAAACTGCGTCCGGCCGGACCCCTTAGACGCCTTCTTGTTGACAACGTCCAGGATCCACTGGAACGCCGCGCGCCGTCTCTGGCGGACTGCCAGCGGGGCCGGGAGTTCCAAGGGTCTACCACCACCGGCTCCGCCCGCGATGCGGCGGATCTTGATGAGAGGCGCGACAGAGTCCACGGCCAGTGTGAGGTATAGCACGGGGTTCAGGGGGAGGTGAGCCGGCGGCGGGGCGCCGGGGAGGAGCGGGTATCGCGGGTTGATGATCGGGGGAGGGGAGGTTCGCAGGAAGTTGAGGACCATGGCCATATTCTAAAGAGGGCGCGTTAGCATATTTTGTTTCCTCATTATCTCGAGACGTAAAAGTTCCAGTATGTTCCAGAGCGTTTAACTTACTCTTTGCGCCTGGGCCTTCTTGCCATCTCGCATCATCAGGTTGGTCAATTGGTCTAGCACTGGGTGGTACCGGGACTTGAGGTGGCTATGAGGCGGCAGAGGGAGCGTAGGCAGCGGGAACTTGTACGACTGTGACGGAGCGACCTCGGCATCCCCGGCCTGCGCGAGCAGTCCACCGCTGGCTATGATCTCGAGATCGCGCTGGCCGTTGCCGTCCGATTGTGTAGGTGGGATGGCGCCCTCAGCATACAGAAACTGCTCCTGGGCCTCCGTCAGGCCGCCCTCAAGACCGGCGCTATGTCCCTTTGCCGCCTCCGCGAGCTCGCTCAGTGCCGCGGCAGCTTCAAGGGCCTCATTTGTTGGCTGCGAAAGTGAAATTGTCAGCATTTTCTTCTTCTGCCCGCCCCGTCCGTCCATACAATCTTCCTCCTTAGTGTCAAACCCCCATACCTGCTGTTGTCCCGGCGCGGATTCGGGGACTTCCTGACCCTGAGGGAAAGCCGCATTCTCTGTCTTCTTCAACGCTGGAATCTGACTCCGTTCGCCCTTGCGCAGCTCGTCAGAGTATGCTCGTTTCGTCGCCGCCCAGACCAGAGGTTCCTGTCGATGGGCCAGGGGTCGGGAGCGCAGCGCAAGCGCTCGACAGGCGGTCTGTAGGCTCGGCCGCAGAGACATGGCTGCTCTGTATGTGTACAAGTTGCCGAAATCGTATCGTGTGCCGTCGATTGAGGTATATCGAGGCGTCGGGCGGTCGTAGGAATTGAAAAAAGGTACCTGATTTCGACTAGCGATTTTCGACTCAGCGCGGCCAATCCGTGATCCACGAAAATTATTGAGTCGCGCGGATGTTGCCGCTCCACTCTCGCAACGTCGACTGCTTACCTACGCCTCTACAGTACTTACCGCAGTACGTCCAGAGCCCGAGCTTCAGATTAAGTGGGTCTCTAGAGCTCTACCCGGAGGAAGGTAGCTCCGTTAGCCGTCAACTGTGATCGAGGCTTAGCTAAGGTAGGTACGTCTCGTTTACAGGCCATATCCCAGCCCAGAGCCGGTCGGGGCCGTGCCGCCCACCGAGACGAACCTCATATCCCCTTAGGTAAGCTAATCTCAACCCACGTCCCGCTCTCGCTCACCGAATATGCAGACCTTCTTCACCAATGCCACCACACCTCTTCCGTCAGATTGCTGTGTAATTTTGTACATCACCTTCCAAACCAATGGGCCTTTTTCTCATTGCCAGACACGGCACAGCGCCAGTCACGAGACTCTCCCTCGAAGCGGCTTACAGCTCCTTCAGATGATCAGAGGTCTCTCTTGCGGCCGCCAAACCAACAACAAATCCTTTTTTCCCCCTTCCCCCTCCCAATCCCACCTGAAGCCGCAACAGTGCCTTGGAAAAGAGAAACCCCCAATCCAAACCCCCCTTCCATCCCTTGGCCGATGCCCACGGCGTCCACGTCTCATCGGCATCCCGCACTTTCACCATGTGGGTTTTTGGGTCTCAGTGACAGAAAAATCCCCCCCCCCCCAAACTTTGCCCATGATGAGAGAGACCAAAAGTTCCCAATCTCTTGCCTATGTGGCATGAGCCAATGTCAAATTCGCCCCCCATGGCGGCGCGGATGGGGGACTTGAGGACCTACCTATCTAAGTCGCAACGCCGCCCACATGTCGAAAAGCCGCGAATTTCCTCGACAAACAGAAAGGGAAAACAGCGAGGGAAACACACCACGCACACACACACACACACACCTTGACACCTAAACCCCATCTCCGAATGCCTACCTTACCCCTCGCTGCATGTGGACCGAATAGGGAACAAGTCACTATCACCCCGAAGAAAGAATGCGTGATTCAAGCTGCCTGCCTGCCACACGCTGCATAACCCACCACCCTGACCACTCACTCACTGGTGCAGATTCCTGCAGCACGGCATTTAGCGGCTCTTTCCACTTTCTCTGCCCGTCGCGCGACTCTATCTGCCTCTCTCTCTCTCTCTTACCACATCCCGCGGATGCGCAAAATGGGCGTGTTATCTCTATCTCTCCATCAAGTGGATTCGTATCCTTCCATGGGGGCAGACCGAGAGAAATACAGCGAGTTGTCAACTTTTGTCATTCCATTGACAAGTTCCTAGCGCTAGACCAGCTGATTCAGCTCCCCCACCGTTCATGAAAGCTAGGCTGGCTGGGGGGCCCCCTCAAGATTCCCCTTCCTACTTTACCTTACATAGGCCAACCGTGGGCAACGCAACTTAGGTTGAGAAACAGCTTTGCGTTGGCGTGGGATCTGCCGCAGTCCCGTTGCTAGCAGACTCCCTAGCTCATCTTTGTCCAGGGGGGTAGGGAGGGGAGCAAGCCCACTGTCCGCCGACACCGCAACGACCTCCTGCATTGGTGATAGTAGAACACCCGAAATACCTATGTCATCGTGGAGGAGAGGACTGGAAGGAGAGAGAGAGGTGGACAAACGAAGCGTTTGCCCTGCCCGCGTCAATCGACACCCCCTTCTGCGCCCGTGTTCCTGAAGAGTAATCAGCTTGCTATCACGAAGCCACTGATGTCTTTTTTTTTTTTTTTTTTTTTTTTTTTTTTTTTTTTTTGAAATTCAGCTACAATCCCATGTCATCACCGCAGCTATAATGACGGAGAATTAATCTCGTCGCACGTGGATTGAATGCAGAGTGGTGTGGGAAGAAGTGGATAGGCCCTCGGCAGGAAAAAGGAAGTCTCGTCATGTTGGTCCTCATCTCTTTTGGAAACTTTGCGAGGAACCAGCTCCGTTCGACGTAAATCCTTTTCTACCTAGCTATGCCACGGCAGCATCCCTTGCGCTCGTGGTTGCTTTTCCCATCATTAACGCCGCTCCGTAAAGAAAAACAAAGAAACAAAAAATGTCCAAAACTGCAACCAAATTACCAACCGGGGCCCGTCTTCGCAACGCCGCCCAAAACAACAAGGAATTAAATGAGAAGAGTCCTCGTGACCCCGTCAACTGTTCTGCCGGTGCTGTTTCGCCAAGGTTCTGTCTCGTGTCGGAATTTCTTCTCTCAGCTCCCGTCCCTGTTCCACACGCGTTAGGTTGTGAGGAGTACAGAGAGAAACGAGACACGCCGCCGCGTGCCCCTCCCACCACCCCTTTGTAGATTGGTGTGGTGAGAACAAATGTTTCTTTTGCTCCATTTCTCCTCAACCAAATCAACACCATCTTCCTTTTCGGAGCCTCCCAATTGACCGCAGGTAGAAATGTAGTCGTACGCCGATGTTCCGTGATGTCCCCTTGTGCCGCGTGGCATTTGGCCAATGTCTCCCAATCTCAACTCCAGGTGTGTATTCGTACAGTTGAACATCCGAAACAAGAGCCCAGAAAAGTAAGAGCAAGAATAGTGCGTTGAATGAAAAAAAGAGACAAAAAGTGTGACGCTAGACGATGATGCTCGAATGGATGTTTCGCTGCAAGTTTCGGGTATCTTTGCACGTCTGTATCCGTCTTTCGTTTCGTCTTCTTCTTTACCAGCTGCCTCTACTGTTGGCTGGCGAGCTGGGATTCGAACCGGTGAGGTAGTTGAGAGCCATTTCGGCAGCGTCTTCTTTCGCGTTGTTGAGGTTCTTGCCGTCGTACCAAAATCGTGCGGAGAGGGTACGTCCGTGGACAGTTACTCGACTGGACCAAGCGGTGCGGCCGCCTGAGTGAAGAGCAAGCGATCAGTAAAGAGAGCACGTCGAAGGGGGTGTTTACTGGCAACAAAGCTTACCACGGCGGTCAGAAACGATCTGGAAGACAGGAGGCATTATGTTGGCCTCGCGGCAAGCGTCTGTAAAGCAATTGATCAGCTGCTGCGTACACAATGGTGGACGTCGTCATAGCGAATCCCTACCTTCAAGTCGCTCTTGCCAGGTGCTTGCTTGACTACTGTATGACGAAGCAGACATGGTGGCAGTCGACGTGTATGACTTGCTGGAGTACATGCAGTGCAATTGTATGGCCGAAGCAACAAGGGGTAGGTTTATAGAGGTATACTGTTCGAGGGGGGTGTCGAAGCGACAGATGTGGACTGTAGAAGGTGATGGTTGTTGTTGGAGTCGGTTTGGGATCGTGGATATCTCTCAAGACAAACGTACATAGAGTAGCGACACTCGGTCGTTCTTATACTCGGGATCAGGTCGGCCGTGAAACAAATGGGTATATTCCCATTGGAGTAGAAAAGATTATGATGTGGCAGGACGAGATTAGCTAGAAGCTGTTTCTGGAGGCAATGAAATGTTTGCACAACGAATGTAGACGGGTAAGGGATCAATTGGGCTGGTACCCTACGGCATGCTGCATCTTGGGATGGAGAGAGGTGGGAGAGAAAAGGAAGGGAAGATGAGAGAAAAGGGACATGATCCAAAGAAGTAACGACACAACATCACGTCCCAATTACGTTTGGGTTTGGTACGGCAGGACCGCGTCGGTTTCCTGTGTCCTTTCTTTTTCTCCATGCCCTGGTACTTGTCTCTGACGACCAGCACTTGGAGCAGGAGCGGCGGCGGCGGCGGCGAGAAGAGGGGTGTGCCACTTGGGTGTGAGTGCTTCTGCTTCGTCTGATGCCAGACCACAGACCAGAGACCAGACCGGACGTGGGGAGTGTGGTACTGGCCGCAGAACGTCGTGATAAACTTGGATCTCTTAGCGTCGTCTTTTTGGGTTATTATTTCCCTTTCTTTCTCTCAAGATTTTTTTCCTCTGCTTTCTTTTTTTTCTCACACACCCCTGAACATACACACACACACACACACACACACACACACATGCTAGCCCTTGAACCCCCCGCGTGGTCAACCGGTACATGGGTGCCGACAATCATGGATTTATGAACAGGCAGCTGGGAAATATGGGCTTGCGGGACTTGAGACAAGATGGCATAGCTCCACGGCTTGTAGGTAAGGTGAATACACGCTACTTGTGAAGGGAGACCGGGAAATGGCCGCAGCTTTGGGCGAACAGTTGATTGGGACGTGGCTTGCCAGGCTCCCTTACCCGGCGTCCGGCGGGGTCCAAGGCCACACAGAAGCTGGCGTGGAGTGCCGACCCGTCGGGGTGGAAGAGGGAATTGATTGGGAGCTTCAAAGCCGCAGAGGCAAGGGCTTGTACAAGGCCAGCCAGGGGGGTAGGGTGAAGGGGGTGGACGATCGAGCAGACGGATGAGCACTCCGTACCTAGGCCGACTGGAGGGCAAAGGGGTGAAAGATGGAGGTGCAAACGGTGGGAAAAGGCAGGGTAAGAGCTGACCAGGGGCAGGACTGGAATCTCCAGCCGAGAAAGGGAGAGGAAACGAAGGTTACGGAAAGCGGATGCATACAGCCTGGATGTATCCACGAAAGTGAGCTGTGTGTATCCGTATCCAGGTCATGTACCAAGATGAGCGCCTGACGTGCTACATGGTACATTGGGAGATGAGGTTTCGTGCAGATGTTTAATCCGCAGGCGAGAGAGCGAGCAACAACCGGACGAATGAGCGCCCCCAGATACATGAAGAGTCTATTTGAAGATTGCGAGAGTGGGAGTGAGAGTAGGAACAGAGCGACGAGGCTGGAGGGCTAGAGAGAGGGCTACGATGGCACCACGTCCCATGCAGTCAACGCTTCAGCCGACCCAAGCTAATCGCAACCAGGGCTGGGCTGGGCTGGCTGGCTGGCACTTGTTGATCGGTACATGAACCATGAGGCATGAGCCGTGAGAGGGAAAGCGATATGTACGGATAGGTAAATGAGAGCAGGGGGCAAGGGTTCAACAATAATAGCATTGACATCAGCCAACAAGCCGACGATTGGGCAATCAAGCTAGAGCAAAAGTAAAAGAGCGTGACAGAGCGAAGCAGTAAGGTAAGGTACCTTGGAAGTTAGCCTGGGCACCGAGCACTGGGCAATCCGCAGTGGCATCCGGGACCAGCTCTGGGCGAGCGACGCCAGGACCCTCTCCGGCGGCATCGACTCCGCCAGCCGGTGAAGC